TTAGTGGCAGCAGCAGCAGCAGCAGCAGCGGCGGTGGTGGTGGTGGTATGGCGTTGGTCGACAGAACTCTCCTCAGCAGCAGCATGATGGTAACAGTGAAGAAGAAAAGCCAACAGCAGTGGGCTCTTAACAGACAGGCTTATCTGCCCCAGGTCACACCCACTTGTCCTCTGACCCATAGAGTCAGGGTCCACGTAGACCACATCAATAAACACTGCACATTCTGTGTCCTGTTCAACTAAAAAATAAAATGTATTTGCAAGAATAAATGAAGTCATATATTTTCCAAACAAGCTAACTGATAAAAACCGACGTCACAATTATGAATCAAATATTCCGTTTCACTTTAATTAAATATTAACCATTAACTATTCTTTTCTAAACATTTAAAGTCCATGATAAAGACAGTGTGACCTGATCAAAGATATGACTGAAGAAATCACAAGCACAAACTCACACACAGTTCCTAATATTCCCTTCATTTCTTGGCTGATTACAGCTTATTGTATACTGTTTGTTTGAACATTTTTATTATATATATTTTTTTCTAGAATGTTCCGTTCTCTTTAGTCGGTGGCTCCTCTGTGGTCCGGTTGGTCGTCGCTGTGTCTGTGTGATTCGTGGATAAATCTGCTGAAGCAGTCCGGTTGTGAATCCACTCCAAGTAGTTGGAGACACGGGTGTAGATGCCGTAGTTGCCCGGACGGGCACAGCCCCGCCCCCAGCTGACGACCCCGAGCAGGAAGACGGTCTTCTTGTAACGTGTCACCAGGGGACCGCCGCTGTCGCCCTTGCACGAGTCCTGATTGCCCTCGAGGTAGCCGGCACAGAACATGTTCTCCGTCAGCGTCACGCCACTCTCCTCCACACACTGCTTTGTGCGGATGCGTGGCACCAGCAGGCGGCGCAGCACAGTGGAGACGGGCCCCAGCTCACCCCTCCTCCCCCAACCACTGACGGTGTGAAGGCTCACGGCCCACAACTCACGCTCGGCGTGTAGGCGTGTGGGCAGGCAGGCGGGAACAGCGTACGACGTGTAGACGATGGGCGAGTGGAGGCGGAGGAGGGCGATGTCGTTGTCTGCTGTTCTGCTCACATAACTCTCGTGCATGAGGATCTCAGCGACCTGTACGGCCTGCTCTGTGCCCTCGTTTATCTCCGTGTTGTGTTCACCTGACAAAACAAAATCAACATTTCATTGCCAAGATATTCTAGCTATTTTGCTTGATATTTGAATACCCCGTAGTCGTCTGGTGGCTAATTTTGTTTCCAGCATACCAACTATCCTTTAGAGTCATTTGGCTAACTGTACCAGATGTAAAAAATGGGACTAACTCTACCTGCTATCACCTTCAGGAACCGAACATCTGTGTCTTCAACACAGTGAGACGCAGTGAGTATCCATGTGGGTTTATATATGATTCCACCGCAGAAGCCCTTCCCTTTATACACCAACAAGACCTGAAACGCAGACCAAGGTCATTTGGTTCTACCTGCCAATCGTGTGGTTGGGTTTAAGAGTTAAAGTTAGTTAAAGAAACAAGAACTCGTCTTAAGAAGAGTCTACCTCTCAGCATTACCTGCCAGGGACATTCTCCTTTAGGACACTCTGTTCCTCCCACAATTCGAGCTCGAGGGTCCAGCTGATTTTGTTTGTTCTGGTTCTGAAGCACTGGTACCATTCCACACGCCAACGGCTCTAAAGACACCAGAGGAATTATGTGTTCATGTGAGAATTTGTTTCATAATTTTGTTGAGAATCAACCTGTTTTCAGTTGTCTTTGGTTCCTGGGACCTGGTAGTAATCAAGGTTAATGATATACAGGGTATAAAAACACAGAACACATGTTTTAATATACTGTATGTCAAAGAAGGCTGTTCCTTCGATGTGTCATGTGACCCACAGAGCCCCACCTTCTGTCATGCAGCTCCGCCCATCAGAGTCCAGACGGTAACCATCGGCACACGAACAGTTCAGTCTTTGTCCTTCCTCGTCTTCATCGCAGAAATGTTCGCAGCCCCCGTTCTCCAGCAGGCAGGAATTAAAAACAGCCAGGGTTTCTGTCAAAACCTCCAGCTGATTTATCACAAAACAACTGCAGATGTTTAACAACAGACATTCTCTAACACTAGATGTAGGCTACGTGAAAAATAGATTTTTGGACTTGAACTCGGTGCGAAACATTGTTGTCTTGAAAGACTTAGATTACAGCCTGATAATACTTAAATAATAATAATAATTATTATTATTATTATATGTGAAATTGTACACATCAGTCGTATATTTACGTAGACATTCTCTCTTTCGTCAGTAAATTCACCAAGCTCGCAGTTCATTCCACTGAACTGGGGTAAACAGAAGCAGGTGTAGCTGGAGTCCTGGCTGGAACAACTGCCACCGTTCAAACAAGGGGAAGAGTTACAGCTGTCTGGAACTGAAACAAAACACAGCTTTACTGATTAACACACAAACCTAAAAGAAATAATAGATGTTGATGTTTGACTCATTTAATTAAATATATTCACCGTTGTATGTTTTCCAAAATTCATCCTAAGGAAAAATAACCAGTAAAGGTTAGAGGGTAAAAAACATTTAAAAGATTTGGTCATCTTAACCAACATTCAGCTTTGTCTAGGCTCATTTTGATTCTCTTTCTTTGTACTGTGACATGTTTTGGTCCTGGAGGACACACACCGTGGTCTCTGTGTGTTCAAACACCTCCCGGGCTTCTTCGTATGAACACCTCTCCTCCAGACACTCCCGCTTCAGGTCTCCTCTCTGCAGCTCCTCCAACCAACCTGAGTTCCCACGTCGGGTCCGGACCAGGACTCCGTGAGCCTGATCTGGATCCAGGAAGACTACGAAAACGATAAACAAAAAACCCTTCATGACCTTTGATCCCAGCAAGTTGACGGATAAAGCAATTTCTCAGGTGGACGACAGCTGTTGCTGAGACCATTTTCCACAGCACAGTACCATAAAAACGTTTTGTCTCCACTATTGTCAAAGTCAAACCAGGACAATGTGGTGTGGAGCTTCCTGTCTACCTGTTTGTCTGCCTACTTCCTAAATTCTAGTTTCTGTGATGGGAGTTTCCCTCAGTTGAAATCACTGAGCTTCTGTGGCAGAGAAAAGGATAGTACCTGGCACTTGTCCTTAAACACGCCAGACCAGTGGTTCTCAAACTTGAAAATGTTTATACAGATGTTTATGTTTAAATCCATCCATTTTCATCCACTTCTCCGTTCCCGGGTTGCGGGAGCAGCAGTCACCACCAAATCACATTGCACCGTACCTAAACCTTCCTGCGGGTGGTGAGTCCACTGTAAGGTACCAACCGCCCTAACCGGGATTCAAACTTGCCCACGAGGGGAACCCTGGGGGTCCACACCGATGCCAGAGACATTGTCTCTGGGCCAAAGCGCCACTGTTTATGTTTAAATGTTGTATTAATTGTGCATGGTATGTTTTAGATTTATTCAATTGAAAATGTAAATGTGAAGATGTGAATTTTCCCCACGTACCACTAGAGGGCGCTCGCGTACCACTGGTGGTACGCCTACCACAGTTGAGAACCACAGTTCTTGTTTAGGGGGATCAATCAGATTGTAAACATGAGGTAATCGGTTACTACGATTGACTGTCCTGCTAGCGTTCAGGTAAACCTGTTATCAAAGTTAGCTCAGTTAGCAACTTTAGCATGCTAATGCTAATGCTCTTTTTTGTTTCTATTCAACAATTGCTCACCTGAGGCCGAACGGCAGCGACAGACGCTGAAGAATATCACGAAGATGAGACGCAGCCACATGACGCCAATGTCTGGAACAATTTAATAAAA